CCAAAAACGAATGAGTAGACCGGTGCCTCCAAAAACAAATGGGTAGATCGGTGCCTCCAAAAACAAATGAGTAGACCGGTGCCTCCAAAAACGAATGAGTAGACTGGTGCCTCCAAAAACAAATAGGTAGACCAGGATGCTTCAAGAACAAATGGATAGACCGGTACAGCTCTGCAAGCAGTTAAAAGCCTGGTAGACCAGTACCTCTGCTAAATCCTAAAGAATTGTCACATAACCATCAAGCCACGCCCACAAAATAAGCCACACCCACAGAACCGGTAGTAAAAAGAATTAGAACCCACCCCTGTTGACCCCCCTCTTCTTTCTGATAGCCCCTCAAATACTGGGACACCGCTGTCATGTCACCCCTCCTCCTAAGAGACCTCGGAGTTCTTCTAGTCCAACCCCCTGTTCAAGCATGAAACTCTCTACCATTTCAGACAGAGAGTTGTCCAATCTCTTCTTGAAAGCCTCCAGTGATGGAGCAGCCACAACTTCTGGAGGCAGGCTGTTCCACTGGCTAATTGTCCTCACTGTTAGGAAATTTCTCCTTAGTTCTAGGTTGCTTCTCTCCTTGCTTAGTTTCCACCCGTTGCTTCTTGTCCAGCCGTCAGGCAAAGCTACCTCGGGAAAGGAAGGGCCCAACTGCTATTCCGATCCTGAATTCTTCATTAATCGAACTTCAATGAAGTCACAGTTAATCTGAATTTCATGAGAATGGGAAACAGTGCTTGCTTTCAGAGCAGAGGTGGATGTTTCCTGTCTGTGCGAGAGAAAATTGGAGGGGAATATACAGGGATGGGATTGAAAAATTTTAGCAACCCGTTTTCTGCCCGGTTGCTGGATGGCCGTTTCTATAGGGGCGTGGCCTACTTGGCCTCCGGCACCATGGCGGTGGGGGGGGGGCGTTTTCACCTTCCCCGGGCTCCAGAGGGCCCATCTCTGGACTTCCGTTAGGTCTGTTTTTCACCTTCCTCAGGCTCCAGAGGCTTTCCTCGAGCGTCTGGGAGGGCAAAAACAGCCTCCCTCAGGCTCCAGAGGACCTCCGGAGGCCGGAAATGGGCTCTTTTCCGGTCTTCCGGGAAGCCCGTTTTTCGCCCTGCCAGAGTCTCCATGTGGGCCCTGCACTTACTCGCATCCAAAACGGGCTGTATTGAGATGGCTACTGGGAGGGGCGGGGTAGGATGGGCAGGGCCAGCCAGTCCTTGCATCTACCGGTTCGGCGAACAGATGTAAAAATAGCATCCGGTTTTCCCGAACCGGCTGAATCCCACACCTGGGAAAATACCGTATTTTTCAGAGTATAAGACGCACCTACCTTTTTTGGTGAGGAAAAGAAGAAAAAGAAATCTCCCTCTGCCTCTGAGCAATTTTGCCTCCTTGCAGCAAACAGCAAACAGCCTGCTTTACTTTCATTTTCGTTTTCGGCATAGCTTGATTAGCACAAGGGGAAAAAAAAAATCTGCTCCCAGCAATTTACCTCTTTGCAGCAAGCAGCAGAGCCCTGCGCAAAACAACTAAGAGCAAAACAGCTGAGAGTCGGGAGGCCGATCCAATCAACTTGTGCTAATTAGGCTGTGCTGAAGCTGAAAGGAGCTGATTTTTCTTGCTGTTTGCTTGCAAGGAGGTAAATTGCTGGGAGGCAGAGGCCAAAGGGTGGGGGCCAGTGGGTGGGCGGGGCTACATTCGGTGTATAAGACTTTCACCCCCTTTTAGGGAGGAAAAAGTGTGTCTTATACTCCGAAAAATACGGTACATCTTCTCGCATTCAGAAGGTGATTTGAAGCAGCAAGAATTTCTAAATGTGTGGCAACAGCAAGCCACTCCAAACGAACATAACACACATAACACACCCTGGTCCCGACAGCTGTGTACCTTTGGGGGTGACAATTTAGGACGCCCTCATTTAAGCGCACCAAGAGCTGGTGCGATGCACACACTCATCGTGTCAAAAAAGTTAAAAACCACTTTCGTTAACATTTCGAGCTTGCCCCTCAAAAATGCAAACAAAGGCATTTTAATTCAG